TCAGCTTCCTCAAGTGTTAGACAGTCAGACCAGAACAGGGAAGGGAGCACCTGATATGTGCCACCAACTCCTGTTACTCTATGTACGTGGCAGCCACTGTTAATCACTGAAAAATTTCTACCGAGTTAGGAAACTGCTTCTGAATTCCTCTCAGCAAAGTATCATAGGCAGCCACTACCAATCAACTGGAGTTGGCTGTCAAAGGAAAACCTACCTACTTGTTGAGCAAGAACACCTCTAAGGGTCATTTTAATTCTACTATTACTCAAAGGCTGAAGTGAGAGTACAAGGTATGGCAAATGCTGGAAAACAAATATCTTGGCAAGTCTTACTTCCCTTTTTCACATTCCTGCCTGAGAGTGTTAAAGACAGCTCGCGAGGCCTGTCTATGGGGATGCTCTGTTCTTCCATCAGTACATCTGGCTTTTTGCTTGTCCAAAATGAATAGAATTTAACTGATTTCCCCCCAATTCTAAAAATGCTTGCTGTAGAAATCTCAACAATGAAGTAAAGTACAAAGAGGAAAGTGAAAGTTATCTGATATTTGATGCCCCTTATTAATATTTGGTAACCGGCCTTGCAGACACAGCTCTAGGTAAAAGTGTTTTTCTGTACTCTGCTTATTTTTCCCACACGGCAATGTTATGTATGGGTAACTTTGCATATCATTCCACAGCTGCAGTTCTTCATCTCTACTCAATGTGTTCCATCTTTGCCTGGGGACACTCCTCTTCTGCTGAGTGAAACTTTGCAAATATAGGAGTAGACTGAAAGGGCAAAGGATTTTTAGACCCTTACCAAAACCACACTTAAAGATGTGGTCAGATTCTCCAGGTTCCACTCTAGTAGACACAGAATGGAAAGATGTGCAAAGCTTGCAATTAAAATTCAATTTGAAAACGAAGTTGACCCTGCAGCTTGTACAAAAGCCAGCGTTCCTCCCATATCTCCATGTACCACACCCCCACATTTTTTTCTTATTATAAAAGGCATATGTGTTTATTTAGGAAAATGCAGATAGGCAAAATGAGAAAAATAAAACCATCGCTAATTGGAATAATTATGGTTAATGTTTTGATCATATCTGTTCAGTCTTTTTTCCTGTGCATACATATTTATATAGCTATCAACACATATCATTCAAACCACTCTTTTAAACTTCTGGATTTTTCTCTTTGTGCACTGCACTGCAGTTCCTACAGAGCGCTGTTTGTATTACAAGCAGGAAATTACGAGTTAAAACTGGCTTTGGAGATTTACAGCTCTTTGTAACAGTAGTTTGCATAGTGAGGTGTGCACACCAAGGAACCAAGGTTATGGGTGTGTTTTGAAATTAATACACCAATTATTTTGAACACTGCTATCCTGGAGTTCAGTTTATCCACTGGGCATGCTGTGCCTGAAGTTCAAATTCCCTCAACAGATATTCAGAAAGTATCTTACATAACTGGTCTAAATGAGGCCATGTCAAGTGCAGAATCTCTGTACACATTTCTATACTGCCATCTACTTGATGAAATGCCTGAATTTCTTAAGGGTATTTGATAAGGAGACTGTCTCCTCACCATTCATTTAATGTGGTGTGATACTGATGCATGCTGTGATGAGGTAATTTACTTTGTAGCAACAAGCATATATTATAGGGAAGATAACGTCCTTATTTACAGGGTGGTCAATTTGCTCCTGAGGGTTTGAGACTCTGTTAAATTGCAAGGTACCATCCCTTTATGTGTTCCCAATGATGGTTAACAAACAAAAAGCAGTCTGGAGAATTCTTACCCTTGATATTCAATATATGGTGTTTTGCTTATCAATTGATAACCAATATGCTATATTGGTTATCCACACCAAAACTTAGAGGCTAAAAACAATTTATTCTGATCTCTCACAATTCTCTATGCTGACTAGGCTCAGCCAGGCAGGCTGGTCTTGCTTGGAGTCTCCACATGTGGTTGCAGTCAGACAGCATCTGGAGCTGGGGTCATCTGGGCATGACTGAGTATGCTGGAAGGTCTGAGATGGTTTCTTCACTCACACGTCTGGTAACTGTTCACATAGCTCCTCTCTACTTGGAGTCTCATCCCCGAGGGCTACTCCGCATGCCCTCTCCTCCCACAAAGATTTCAGACTTCTTACATGATGGCTGGCTTCTAAGAGTGTAAAATTAAAAACAGTGATACCTTTTCAAGGTGGAGACCAGACATCATGTCACTTCCAGCAACCATTCATAAGTGAAAGCAAGGCACAGGGCCACCGCTGATTCCGTGTCAGGGAAGTACATAAATATCAGGGAAGGGGGTGATTCATTGGGTGCCATCTTTGAAAACTAGCTACCCGATATGCTCCAACTGCCCAAACTGGACACATTTAGAATTTCAACTATAATTCCAATGGAGTCTGGATATTTTCTGGCTCAAACACACAGTATAATTAAGGGGAAGTGAAAGGAAGAGGAAAGAAACCTCAAGGTGATGAAGAATTTTGAAACATGGGTGCATTCTTTGGCCTTGAAAACTTGGCAGCTCAGATCACAAAGAAAGTGAAATAAATAGATCATTGCATTACTGTTATCCAAACTCTGTGTGCTCAGAAGGCTTACTTCATGATGGTTATTTTTTATGAGAACTCTAGAGCAAATATTACAATTCTGACACATTGTGAGCATATATGGTGGGTTGCCTTTCCAAACACAGCCAAGAATTCAGACATCAATGGAAATGTAGATTAGTAGCATGTGAAAACAATGGGGGATGCGGGATAGTAGCTGGGAGGGCCTGGCAGTAAAAAGGACTCCCGTGGCACCAGGACAAGGGAGATAAACCAGCATCACCTCATCTGTTCCTCTGGAGCTTCTCAGCGTGCAGTGGCCATGCCCCCACAGCACACTGTGTAAGTTCGGAATACAAGGCCTAAGTTCCCCCGTGAAGACAATCTCATTTCAGTGCCTGCAAAGACTGGAAATCTGCTTGCCATGAGTGGTCTGAGACCAGGGTTCCCCATCCCCCGCCTCCTTTTTTTTTTTTTTTGTGAACTATTATTCAATGCCAAACAGCTTTTCCTTAGTGTTTATTTTTCTTAAACATGTTCGGACTGTTACTATATTGTTCTACTCCCTTTGAAAATATGTACTCTGCAGGTGCCTGAAATAATATACTCCCAGCAACTGCAGTTTTGTCAAAGTAAGGGTTATTTCATTCAGTCTAAACTCAATGGATATCTGTTGCTTAACAAGGAAATCCCAAACATTTTGTAAATTCCTTGAGGACAGCCGGCATTTCATACACAACTTTGGTATCTCTTCCCTCCTGGATTCATTGTCTGCCTTCTCAGATGTAGTAGTGGTAATAAGTAACTCGAATTGTTAACAACATACTCTCTGCCCTATTTCATTATGTCTCTGCATGTTCCTCAGGTCGTTGTAAATAATTTCTCCTAAGGCTTCTTTTTTAGTCCGCAGATCATTTTACAGGCTTTTCACATAACAGCTGAAAGGGTTTAATTCAAACTGAAGAAACTTGCTTCAAATACAAGTGATTAACTCAGGCTTCATTTACCTCAAGGAATACTTGACCGTATAAATTTACAGATAAATCCTGGGAGTGTCAAATTATGCAACCAAGAGAAAGTTTAAGTTTTGGGGGTGTTGATCTGCTATAATCAGGTGTGTGTGTGTGTGTGCTGTGTGTGTGTGAGAAAGATTTTTTTTAATGAAATAATAGTAAAACCACTGCTGGCACTACTTCCCCTGGTCTTTCATAATTTCAAGAAGTTAGAAATGGAAAACCTGGCTTGTTAAAGAGTTAGACTGTTAAAACATAAGAGAAAAAAAAATTATCTATTCTTTTTTAAATCTTTAAGATTTCACAATATTCCTGACTTCAAGAACTTGACATTTTCTGTGAGCAATGATTAATTTTAAGTACTCGTTTTTATTGTAAAACGTAATGTATATTCATTGTAAATTGAAAAGATGCTTAAATTAACAGAAAAATAAAAATCATTTATGATCCTACAACTATTAATATTTGGTGGACAACTTTCGATTTTTTGCCTGGGCACATGTTTTTACGGAACGAATCCGTGCTATATAAGCTTGTTTTATAACTTGGCTTTTCTCATTTTTATTTTTAAAATGATACCGTGAGTACGTGAAAAGAAACTTTGAAAGATTATGGCATATCGTAGTACTTCACAGTGTTAAAGGACGCCATCTCGAGTATGGTGTGTGCGCTTTGATAGGAAAAGGTCTTAGTGGGCTGTACTGACTACTCTGCGACCAAGAGACTTCTTAGTTTGCCCTTGGCGTACTGAGCCTAGCCAAACTGAAAGCGCGTGGGAGTAGGTGGAGGGCATTCAGGGTAACTGCGAGCACGAGCTCCCCGCGCGGTCCACACTTCCCTTGGGCAAGTCCCACTGGCCCCAACCCGTGAGGGGACCGAGGGCAAGAGGGCAGTTCGCGGTACGCACAGCCGGGTCCGAGATGTTACTCCCGCCCCGGGGCTGGCGCCACTCTCCGACCGTGGGTGAGATAAAGCGGGGCAAGGTTCTGCAACACCAAACCAGGGAGGCGCAGCTCCGATACCGGCGCCTTTGCCGGGTCTCCAGCCGCGTTTGTTCCAAGTGTTTAAACTGTTTCAAAGCGCTTGAACCCGAGAGACCTTCGGCAAACAACACCTAATCTCTCGGGCAGAGAGCGTTAGTTTTATTTGCGAGGAGGACAAATTGAGTGCGGGGACCTGGTGGCTCAGGCGGCCCTCCTCCAGGTACCCCGCCCGTCCGCCGGCGTCCACCGCCACCCACTGGGACCCCAGCCCGAGGCCCTTTCCAGCCCCGGGACCGCGAGCTTCTTGCGTCAGGCCAAGCGGGGGTGGGGGATTTTCGGCAGCGCTGCCCGCGCGGCTGGTCTGAGAAGGACAGGCCTGGGCTCTTGCCCCGCCCTCGGGGGGCGGGAGGCGTGGCGGGGCTGGAGCCCAGTTGGCGACTAGGGCCTTGTCGCCTAGGAGCGAGTGTCGGGGAGCCGGTACGAGTCGCCGCCGTCAGCGCCTCTAGGTCCGCACAGAGCTTGGGCAGCCGGGACTGGACCGCCGTCGGGGGAGCCTCAGAGCACCGTCCCCAGCTCAGCATGATGGACTTGGAGCTGCCGCCGCCGGGGCTGCCGTCCCAGCAGGTGCTGCCCCGGCCCTCTCGGTCCCATTGTCGTACCTACACGGGGGCAGGGGCGCGAGGGAGCTGCGGTCCAGGAGGGCCAGCAGCCACTGGCATCTCACCGTCTGTGGCCGGAGCCGGGACTGCAGCGGCCACGTACTGGACCTCCGCGTTTGGGGCGGGGCGGGATGGAGGAGCAGGGACCCAAGGGGCTGCGAGGGTAGTGCGGGCGCGCCCGGGTGGTCCCACAGACAAGGTGCCCGCCGTCCCAGAGCGCGACTGGCTGGGGGTTTGGAGGATACACCCGCGTGCGTGGGGCGAGTGGTGCGTCTCTTGTCGCGTCCCAGGCGGCCAGGTTGGAATGCCGAAGCCCCATCCAGCCCCCAATGTTTGAGCGGCTCCCAAGGCTACGGGGCAGGAGGGGCCGGACGCTGGCGGTCTGAGCCGGCGCGGGCCGGCACTTCCGGGGCAGAGCGGTTCCCCGCCTGGGAGCCTGCAAGAATGTGCCTAGTCACGGGGCCGCTCGTGGGGGAGCTGAGGTCTCGGGGCTGGGACCAGGAACTCCTTCCCTGCCATCACTGTCCTTCTCCCCACAATTGCACGAGTAGTTTGCTCATCCCGCTGGGCCAGATAAAATTCTTGTGTACCAAGTTTCAAAAGAAAGATAGAACATCAGAGTTTGGAGTAGGGAAAGGCTTATTGATGAGAAGGCCCAACTTGAGAAGATGGGAGAACTAATTCTGAAATCCATTCAGGCGTCTTTTTCAGTCAAGGGAAGGGAGGAGGGGCGAAGTGGGCGGGGGCGTGTACAGATAGGCATCCAAAGGTGTCCAAGGAAGAGGGCAAAATTTCTATATCCCTTTGTACCTGGTGGACCCCTGCTAATTAATGAGTCTAGTTCCTGAGTCATTACTTTGTGCATATTTCCCCACCTCTTCTGCTGATAAAGGGGTTCTTAAGCAGAATTCCTCTAATTAATTATGTTTGTAGCTGGAGCTGTTAGCCTGAAGGCCATCAGTGGAGGGGGGAAGCATTTCACTGTTACAGGCTAAGTCCATCAATGGGATCGATCCTTCAGGGAGCTAGGCAAGAAATTCCAGCCCGTAGGTGGGGGGCAGAAGAGGTACCCAGGTGCCCTGTGCGCTAGGATGCCCCCATGTGCGGCCCCTAAACCGGGCCTCGCACAGTGGGAAAGTTTCGACTGGAAGACCCCTGATCGGGAGAACAGCGGGTGGGGCGGGGTCTCTGCGGTTGAAGTCGGCAGCGCCCCAACCTTCTCCATCCTCCCCCGGTGCCTGCTGGTGGCGCACGCCCAGTGCATGGCCTTGGCCTCCGCATCAGTGACAGTGGCCGGTTGGCTGTCACAGCGGCCCTCGGTTGGCCCTTTCCTGCTTTGTAGCGTGCAAGCCTTGCCGTGCTGGGGCCAAGGGACAAGTTGGAGCTGTTGATCTGTTGCGCAATTGTTATTTTTCCCCAGGGCGGCTTTCTCTTTGGATTTAGCGTTTCAGACTTGCAATTCCAAAATGTGTAAGGCAGGATATTCTGTTTTGTGCTGTCAAGGGTAAGAGTTGCGAGTGTAGATTAGAATTTCTGTTGCTTTTAGGCTGTTGCTAAGTTTTTGGCTTTCATATATTATTTCTCCCTTGGGTGTTTTATATAGTTTTCCTTTTCTGTTTGAGAATTTGCCTCAATTTCTTAGCATGCTGCTGCTTTTGTAAGGGCGGAGGATGAGACACCTTTGTTTCATAATGCTTTACTATAAAGTTCTGTAAATTGTTTAAAAAGAAGTTTCTGTTCATACTTTGTAGGGACTTTTAAAGGAGTGGAAGTTTATATTTCTCTTTTTTTTTTTTGTAACTGGGTACTTAGGGGAAAAAATTGGTTCAAGGAAATAAGTAACTTAAGTACAGTATGTTTATGCTCTTAAAACCTAATGTTTTAGACTGATCCTGATGTTCTAAAGTGCGGTTATAAGTCATTGACCATGTATTGTGCTTTTTTTTTTTTTCATTAAAATTGTTTAGCTTGAACTTCCCCCCAGTAATGATTGGGATTGTATTCCCTTGGTTCCCACTGGTATGAAAAAGTATGTTTTCAGATTTAGCTGCTGTTCAAGGGTAAACTGTATGACAAACGGATATATGATGCTAATGGACTTTACTTTTCCTAAATTCAGGAATTGTTGCCTGGAACCCTTCTGTCTTTTATTTTTCTCTTTCTTTACTGTGTAATTTAACATTCTATATACAGAAATGCATAAAGCTTAACTACTGCTTTCCCATTTAAATGTGAATTTTCTAGTTATGTTTGATAAGGCAATTCCTTTTCTACCTTTTGTAATCAGATACCAATTAGCATACTTGAAAACTGAAAAAAAGAAAATGGAGTAAAATTTAGAATCAATTTCATGTCTATAATGGATTCACATATGAAGTCATCGTTGTAGTTGAGGAAGATTTGAACAGAAAGTCAAAGTGGATTGTTTGTCAAAGAGACTCCAGGTACGATGTGGTGTTAGGATATGGCTTTTCACACTCTGTGCAGAGGGGTGTCGATGAACAGGTTGGTAAGGAGAGCCTTAGATTCTTTATCTCCAATAGGTGGAAGGAACCATCTGTTACTGTTTTAAGGGTGTCTTAGAGAGATAAAGTACTTTTGCATGTGAGGGGTGAAAATGATCTTGGACAAGACTGATAAGATTATTTTTAAAAGAAAAATATGACAGACCTCTCATCTCCTAAATGAATGTTAACCAGAGAACAACTTGACTTTTTAGATGAGAAAAGTCTCTTGAGAGATTGTGGAAGCAGTATGTAGGAAAATAAATACACAACTCGTATCAGTCTTTCTGCATTAAGAATAACTTGGGCCATTTAGAAGTCTCTTTTTTGTTAACTTGAGTTTATATAAACAATGTTGGGGGAAACAAAAACCCTGTCTGCCTTTAGGATTACCAGTAAGAGTTGGAAACCAAATACATTATTTTTCTTAATATTTACTTTTTGTTCAGGATGAATTATATTTACAGAACAGCACAGGAAAAGGAACCCTCTATAAACTATAAGAACTTTTTTCCCCTGGGAATGTCTTGTCTATTGGCCGAAGACAATTATTTAAAGGAGTTTTGAATAAATAATATTTCCTCTTTAATTTTTGCTTGATCTGGGGTTAATTGCAGTGCAGACTTGGATGCAAGAGAATTTGGCCTTGTGATAATAATAGGTAAGTTGTTGGCTACTTCCTCGCATGCCAGGCAGTGCAATAATTGCTTCACATGCATAATTTCACAGTAACCCCATAGGAAATACTATTATCACCAATTTCCAGGTGAGAGAAGAGGCATAGAGAGGCCAAAGTTCTACTTAAAAGTGATCCAACTATTGAACAGCATGGGTGGGATTCAAATATAAGTAGTCTGACACCCATAGTTCTTAATCACTGCTTTCAAACTGGACCAGGATTAGTTAAGCTTTGAACAGGGGGAAAAGCTGACACTTTTAAGAAAAACTGGGGAAAGAAGAGCAGGAATTAAAGAGATTAACCTTTTCCACTTGTGAAGAAATTCTAGTCACTGTGTACGTGAGGCGGGAGGTGGACCTTCTTCTACAGAGAGGGAGCAAATAAACCTGTCAATGGAATTACCGCATGCGCAGGGGGGCTTACAAGGAAGATGCGGAGGCCAAGAGGGGGGTAATTTAGTAATAACAACTTCATAGTTTTTAAGATTTCTAGGATTTCAGTAGTATTTATTTATAGAGAAGAGAAGGGAGAGAGGGAGAGAAACATCAATGTGTGGTTGCCTCCTGCACTGCCCCCCCTCCCCACCCCCTTGCCCCCCCCCCACTGGGGGGCATGGCACACAATCCAGGCATGTGCCCTAGACCAGGAATTGAACTGGTGACCCTTTGGTTCACAGGCCAGCACTCAATCCACTGAGTCACACCAGCCAGGATTTTTTCTTTTTCTTAATGAAATCTCTTAGCTACTGGGGTCTTTGTTTGCTTTTGTGTGCCTTGTTAGTTAGAACATTCTCCTGTTCCATTGGCTCTTTTCCTTTTGAAGTTGTGGTCCAAAGTAAGTTTGGTGATGAAGATATATATATCTGTATGTGCGCACACACACAGAGGATTAAACCAGGTTGAAGGAAAGTGAGTAGAATAAAGAGAATTTGAATTGAAAACAACTAGTAAAATTAAACACTAATGTCCTGTTTTGGCGTTTATGAAACTGATGCAGGAGTAAGGGCTCAAGTCTATCTAATTGAAGTTTACTTGGACTTTTAAGAATAGTACATTTCAAAATTAAATACTTTATTTCTGAGTCCTTGTTGCTAAACAAATTGTATGAGAATTATTGTCTTTGTCTGAATCAAGGATCGTGCAGGATTTTTAGCATCCAATGGATGATCTGCCTAAAAGCCGGTCTGGGTAAACCCAGGGTGTTTAAACGCCTGGCCCAGTCACTTCTAAAAGTTTGCTGAAAACCAGTTGTACACCCAGTATTGGAGGACAAGTTTGCCGGAAGCCATATTCAACCTGCTTTCTTTGTCTGTAGCTGTGTGTTTAAGTTTAGCATAAAATGGAGAATAGCGTTTCTTTTTGATAATATGATTTCTAGGAGTTACTAAAATTTCGTGACCACCTGCTTTTAAATACACTCCAACAAACTTTCCAGCAAATTTATTCAAAGGACTCCAAGCTATAGGCCAGAGCTTCTTCATTTGGCAATGATACGTTCTCTGGAAATGAGTGCAAAAATATGCTAAAGCATATAATTCCTGAATGGTATTAGAAAAACACAAATGGTGTTCTTACACCAACCCTTCGCCCCACCCCCGACCCCAGAATAAAACAAGACTGCTAAACAAATTCCCCCTCTTCCTCAAGTTGACATTTTCTCTGTATCACCCTGCCACAATTCATACTTTATAACTGTTAGTAGTATCAGGAATGTTAGGAACTCTGAGGATGGGAAGCACTGTTAACCATTCATTTTTACAGCATTCGTCCTGTCATACTCATT